GAGCTCCTCCCGTGTGACTGAGCTCCTCACCTTATCTCTAAGGGAGCGCCCAACCACTGCAAAGGAAACTCATTTCGAGCGCTTGTATCTGCGATCTCATCCTTTCAGTCATTACCCAAAGCTCATGACCATAGGAACGAAGACTGACCGGTAAATCGAGAGCTTTGCCTTTCCACTCAACTCACCACAACGGTCCAATACAGCGACAGCATCACTGCAGATGTTGCACTGATCTGCCTGTCAATCTCATGCTCCGTCCTCCCCTCACTCGTGAACAAGACCCCGAGATACTTGAACTCCTTCACTTGAGGCAAGGACTCCCTACCCACCCGGAGAGGACAAGACGCCTTTTTCCGGTCGAGAACCATGGCCTCCGACTTGGAAGACCTGATCCTCATCCCAGCTACTTCACACTCGGCTGCAAACATTAGACTAGACTTTAGATTAGGCTGACATTAGAACAGAGATCAGAAAACGCCGTCATATGAATGCTTTAAATTTGTTGTTTAAAAATGTTTTGATCTTGGTTCTATTTTGATCACATTTTGATCACATTTTCCTGTAACCTTGAAGCTTCTGTGTATTAAAGTGCCAGTGCGAGTTATTTCACTGATAATTGTGCCTTCAGACTCTTCGTGAGTACAGCTCTGTGGTTTTTGAGCGCAGGACTCAGCCTCCTGCATATCTGTGGAAGATGAGCATGAAGCTAAACGAATCGTGGCATAGCGATGATCTTTTCAGCGTTTTGTATTTCACGGTGTAAATGTCATGTAAACACTGGCTGCAGATGTCAGGTCACCACCTTTTTGTGAATCCATTTTCAACACATCAGTTGTAATATGAGGGAACTGCCATGTTTTAATCAGGTTTTCCATCTCACACATGTGGAATATTTGAATTCAAATGTGAAATTTGACAACAATAAAAACATATAAGATGCATTATTTAGATTTTTTAAATATAATTCTTATAATATTTAATTTCTTAAGGCCAACTCCAATTATTGTAATAATTTTAAATTTTCTTTTAGGGTCCTATATTACACAAAATCAACTCTTGTGAGCTTCAAGTCACATTGTAATGCTTTTTCCTCATCACAGACATACTTGGAGTTGTCTTTTGTTTCAATTGTCACATTTACATGAGCACTTTAATTCCAAATAAAAATAATTTAATTCTGAATACAAATGAATTCCACCTTAAAAAGACCAAGTAAACACTTCATTCTGAATGAAAATGATTGCTGAAGTAAGTGGGTGGTTTATTCCTATTTTAAAGCCAAATGTATTTATTCCTGGATCATGTTTCAGGTTTATTCTTGTTAAAAATGGTGTCAGTGGTTCAGTGCATGCTCGTTGTGTCGCCCTTCTGACGTGATCCAGATGATCCACCAGTCCTGGCTTGGGACTTTCATCCACGTCTCTTTGGATTTGTGAGCGGGATGTGGGAGTGTGCTGAGGTAGAACAGCCTCACACTCAGTTTTTTTTCCTCCTTCTCCGACACTCTTCCCTTCTCCTCCTCAGCTGACAGACGTAAAGTGTGATGACAGAATTCTCATCGGAACCACTGCGGAAAAAGTTTGGGTCATGTTTGAGTCCGTGAAGTAACGACAAACCGAGATGACAGAAAAGCCGGGAGCAGCTGAAGTGTGTTTTCTTCTGGTCAATGCAAATACGTTGGTGTCTCTGTCCAATCAGAACCTTCCCCACCCCCAGACACTGAACCCAATTAAGTAAAGGCGATTTAAGGAGTTTTCCATGGAAACCTCAATTCAGAATTAGTATTTCCATGTAAACTTGAAGGAGAATATTTTAATACTGAACAATTAATTCAGAATTAAAGAAACATCATGTAAACGTGGCCATTCACACATATTTGAATAACTGTTTATTATTAGTCTGTTTACATCTCCGAAGCTCAAAATGATCTCTTCCACCTTGTGATGTCATGAAGTGGTAGTTTCCAAGTGAACAGCTCCTTTTACCTTTAGTTCAGTAGAGATCTGCACTTCCAGGTCTGAAATCATCCAGATGTTTCTAGTGAAGGTGTATGGAGGTAAAACACAGTGGAGCCCTTTCTGTGTTACCACATGACATCACAAGGTGGAACAGAGTGTTTTCTGTTTGAAAGAAGAACTAAACAATGCTTAAATGTGTGTGAATGAAACAAAACACAACTCCAGGTCTGTTTTTGATGAAGAAACAACATTTTAATGCAACTTAAAGCTCACAAGAGTCGAATTTGCGTCATATAAAACCTTTAACCGTGTCACTAACACAACAAAACAGTTGCAACATTTGTGCGAGAAATGTCGTTTTTGCCCCCGTCTGAGACGATTTTCAACACATTTCGAATCTGAGAACGCCCAATAGGAGTCATGTGGCACCCAAAGGCGAATGAAGCGCTGACACCCCATTCTCTGAGTATTGAACGGGTCCTGACAAAGGGCACAGAGCTGTCTAATGCCCCGCTCCTCTCCAGGTCCCTGCTCTCCTCTCTCAATACTGCTTTTGTGTGCCCCCAAACACAGAGCCACTGTCTCACACCGGGAGAGAGGGAGGAGGAAGAGGAGAGGGGAGAGGAGAGAGTGAGAGGGGGATGAGAGGAGAGGAGAGAGAGGGAGAGAGAGAAAGGAGAGAAAGGAGAGAGGAAGAGGAAAGAGTGAGAGGGGGAGGAGAGGAGAGGGAGAAGAAGAGGGCGAGAAGGGAGAAGAGAGGAGAGGGGGAAGAGAGGGAGAGGAGAGTGGGAACAGCACAAGAGGTGAGGGAGAAGGAGGGGGGTATGAGGGGGTGAGGAGAGGGAGAGGAGAGGGGGAAGAGAGAATGAGAGGTGAGGGAGAAAGAGGGAGACGGATGAGGGAGAGGAGAGGAGGAGATGGGGACGAGGAGTGAGGGAGAGGAGATGGGAGGTGGAGGAGGAGAGGGAGAGGTGAGGAAACGGTGCGCATCGTTGCTCCCATCAGGATGAGTTAAATCAGCGGGTGCTCAGGTGGGCGCTTGGGTGACAGGTGCAGACAGGTGCACACAGGTGCACACAGGCTGAATACACAAGAGGACTGAGAGCAGAGAAAATGAGTTTGTGCCACTAAGAATAACATGATTCTTCTGGATTCTCTGTCATGTGTGTTTACTTTTTGGACTGTTAGAAGAAAACAGTCCGACTTTTTCCATATTAAAACACAAATAAATATATGGTCTGCACACAGTGTGACGGGGAAACAGTTGTTGTAGTGGGTCTGGTGCATTTGTCCTCTGCTCTGTTCTATTCTGTTTTGAGCAGTCGCCCAGAGCAGAGGGTTTGGTGTGAACAGTTTGGTGGAGCAGACAGAGCAGAGCCGTCCTCACCTGGACCTGACCTTTCCACAGCTGTCACCCACACACCTGTCTGCTCCTGTCTGTGCTCCTGTCTGTGCTCCTGTCTGCTCCTGTCTGTGCTCCTGTCTGTGCTCCTGTCTGCTCCTGTCTGTGCTCCTGTCTGCTCCTGTCTGTGCTCCTGTCTGTGCTCCTGTCTGCTGCTCTGTCTGTGCTCTGTGCTGTCTGTGCTCTGTCTGCTCCTGTGCTCCTGTCTCTGCTCCTGTCTGTGCTCCTGTCTCTGTCCTGTCTGCTGTCCTGTCTCTGCTCTCTGTCTGTGCTCCTGTGCTCTGTCTGCTCCTGTCTGCTCCTGTCTGTCCTGTCTGCTCCTGTCTGCTCCTGTCTGTGCTCCTGTCTGCTCCTGTCTGTGCTCCTGTCTGCTCCTGTCTGTGCTCCTGTCTGCTCCTGTCTGCTCCTGTCTGCTCCTGTCTGTGCTCCTGTCTGTGCTCCTGTCTGTGCTCCTGCCTCTGCTCCTGTCTCTGCTCCTGTCTCTGCTCCTGTCTGCTTCTGTCTGTGCTCCTGTCTGCTCCTGTCTGTGCTCCTGTCTGCTCCTGTCTGCTCCTGTCTGTCTGCTCCTGTCTGTGCTCCTGTCTGTGCTCCTGTCTGTGCTCCTGTCTGTGCTCCTGTCTGTCTCTCTTCTGGGTCAAATGCAGAGGACAAATAAAGTTTACCTTAAGCTTCTTCCTCTCTGTTGGTTTACTTATTTCCCCATGTTCTTTCTCTTTCTCTCTGTCTGTCTCTCTCAGTGTCTCTCTCTCTTTCTCTCTATTTTTTTCTCTCTATGTGTGTCTGTCTGTCTCTCAGCCCCTCTTTCTCTCTCCATCTCCCTCTGTATTTCTCTCTTCCTGTCTCTCTGTCTGCCTGTCTCTCACTGTCTTCCTCTGTGTCTCTGTCTGTCTCTCTCTCTCTCTCTCTTCCTCTCTCTCTGTCTCTCCCTCTCTGTCTCTGTCTCTCTCTCCCTCTCTCAGTCCCTCTCTTTCTCTCTCAGTTCTCTGTCTGTCTCTCCCTATCTCTGTCTGCCTGTCTCTCCCTGTCTTTCTCTTTACCTCTCTCTCTCTCTTCCTCTCTCTTTCTTCCTCTCTGTCTCTCTCTCTCTCTCTCAGTCTCTCTCTTTCTCTCTCAGTTCTCTGTCTGTCTCTCCCTATCTCTGTCTGCCTGTCTCTCCCTGTCTTTCTCTTTACCTCTCTCTCTCTCTTCCTCTCTCTTTCTTCCTCTCTGTCTCTCTCTCTCTCTCTCAGTCTCTCTCTTTCTTTCTCTCTCCATTCTCTGTCTGTCTCTCTCTTCCTCTCTCTCTGGCTGTCTGTCTCTTGCTGTCTTTCTCCATGTCTCTCTCTTTCTCTCTCTTTCTCTCTCTCTCTCTCTCTCTCTCTCTCTCTCTGTCTCTCTTTCTCTTTTCTCTGTGCCATCTCTTCTGCTGTGCACACATCAGTTTAATTTAGCAACTCTAATGAGGGCCTTGTTGTCTCCTCTGTCCTCCATCTCTCGCTCTCTCTGTCTCTCTCTCTTTCTCTCTCTCGCACTTCTCTCCTGGGTCAAATGCAGAGGACAAATAAAGTGTACCTTCACCTTGTTTCTCTTTGTTGTTGTACTAATGTCCTCATGTTCTCTCTCTATTGTTTCACTAAACGTCCCCTTGTCTCCGTCTCCAGGGCAGCGGGCGTCTCCCCACCAGTGAGTCGTCTCCTGCGTCGGGATATCTGTCCTGTGTGCAGAAACCTGAAGCTGTGGTCCACGCCATGAAGGTACAAACAAAAAGAAGAGAATCTGTCACAACACATAATAATAATAATAATAATAATGATATTATTAATAATAATAATGATAATAATGATAATAATAATATAACATACTGATGCTTTTCCTCTAGACCAGGAGTGTCAAACTCATTTTGTTCCGGGGGCTGTATCCAACCGACTTTGATCCCAAAGGGGCCGGATCAGAAAACTCATGTCATATAAACCTCAAAAATAACAATAAGTTCAAATATTTGTGCAGAGAAACACAAATCTATTACAGAAATCTTTTTTAATTGATGAACTTTTACAAAATATTATAATATTATGAACAACCTGAAACTTTAAGAAAAATGAAATTTCAACACAATGTTTTAACATGAACTTGTATGTAAATAGGAATAAGTCAATTTTTGTTGAAAAATCCTGCACTCAGCTCCACTTTTCTCATGTTGGACATTTTGCTGATGAGGGTGTCACGGTCAACAGTCAAAACGATCGTCCTTTAAGAGCGTTTGGAAAGAGACAAGTCTTCATTTGTGCTGCTCTGGTGGGAGGGGCCACGTACAGAGACGCTGGAGACGCTGCTATGATAAACACCACAGAAAATTAACAATATTTTAATAGAAAATATAATTAAAATATTTGAGTAGAAAATCACCCAAGGGCCACATTAGGTCTTGGAGGGCCGGATCTGGCCCCCAGGCCTTATGTTTAACACCTGTGCTGTAGACCCTACACTCCGTTAAAGGGCCTACGACACGTTGGACAACTCATTTTAATAAAACAGTTAAGATATTTAAGATTTAATAAACAAAATAATGAAAACCTTCCAAGTTTTGCCATCTTTTTGGTTTCAAATTGTACTTTCTGGTTGGAAATCATGACATCATGCAAAGGAATTCCATAACTTTTACCAAGCAACCATAATACACCAAAACTCCTTATGATCTGACAGAAACAAAAAAAAAAAACCAAAAAAACAAAAAAAAAAAAAAACACCTTTTTGTGTCTAAATTTTGGACATTCTCCCGGTGTGATGTCATCAGTATAGAACTCAATTTTTTCCTCACACTGTTTTTTGGCTTGTCTAAAACTATAATTTATATTTACAGCAGGTATTATCCCACTAACCTAAGCAGACATGAGAGAACCTGAGCACATGTTTGGAGAGGTTCTAACAGTGTGCTCACAGCTCAGACTGCGTGGGTCAGGCTGTAAAGTGCTGACTGTTGTGTGTGAACTATTGACCTATTGACATGTGGCTTACTGCCCAATAACCACCAGGGGGCACACTCCAGTTACTTTAATTGTTTACAGTGTAGAGGCAGAGCAGAAATACCAATAGTTAAAGAGAAAGTGTGTCATATTTTGATTTAACATTTTCTCAATTTGTGTCCGCAGATATGAGATAGATATGTAACACTTGTGATGCAGATTTATTTTTCATTACAAAAACGTGACATTATGACAGATTTAGTGTTTTGGTTCTCTACACAGTCATCCAATCAGAAAGCAGAATGAGCCTCACATGACTCTGTCATTTGGGTTGCCAGTTTCAGTGCTGAAATCCAAAATGTCTCTGTCTGATCTGAACGGTCTCTTCCTAAACCCCAGCACCTGCACCACAGTCCTGAGTCAGTGCTAGTGCAGCCTCTGGAGGGTCTGAAGCTTATGAAGCTTTTCCATAGACAAAGAATGAAAACAACCAGACTACACACTGTCCCTTAAACAACAAAGACTTTTTTTCTTTTTTTTTTTTTTTTTGGTGGAGGGTCCGTCCATCTGCCTGGAATGTTCCACAGTGTGACATTAAACAGCTCTACTTTACATTTATTCAATTACAGGTGGTTTTATTGCGCATAGAGCAGATCTACAGAACAGACCTACTGCCAGACCTACTGCGTTTGGTTTGGTAAACGTGCAGAGGCTGGTAAATATCACTGCAAAACCAGAAAAGAATGCAACTCCAGTTTGGAACTTTAAAAAACAGGTTTAAAAATCTTCCTTCACTTTTTTCACAGTTTTGTGTAAAGTGCCAGAGGAAGTTCTCTTAAAGAAGGGGTTCTCAAACTGTGGGTGAGGGTCCAAAAAAGGGGCACAGAGTGTTTCAGTGCAGTTTGCTTGGCTTTGTATTAGGTAGATCATTATGACTTGGTAATTTTGTAAGTGGCTCGCATGCTGAAAAAGTGTGAGCACCCCTGGTCTAGTGTATTCTGATTCCTGACCTAGTCGCTGGAGAGAAATGAAATTGAGTGTAGGCACTAGGCGGCGCCAGCCTGACTAAACACAATGCACCTTTTAATGTCTGACCTCTTTTCTGTTTTCTGTTTCAGGTGCTGGAGGTGCATGAGAACTTGGACAAACAGGTTCCGGAAGATTACGAGGACGACCTGAGTGAGAAGGAGAAGGCCATCGTCAGGGAAATGTGCAACGTAAGTGTCCTGCAATGTAAGGAGCTGTTCACTTGAAAACTACAGCTTCAGGACATCATAAGATCAGTCCAATCCAACAATACAACAATAATAAAATGATAAAATAAACGACTAAAATAATCATACTAGTCTTAAAATAATAAAAACAGTCAAATAAAATAAGAGGAAAACTGTAGAATAGCAATAAATAAATAAAACCAATAAAAATACATTAAAAATAAATAAAATAAATAAATGACACAGAGGAGCACGCAACTCTCGAGGTGTTAAAAGCCAGAGAATAAAAGTGGGTCTTAAGACGAGACTTAAAACTCTCCTGGTTTTAAGTCTCGTCTTAGAGACTGGAGCTGGACCTCAGACCTCAGAGCGCGTAAGGGAGTAAATCTGGATGAGGTCTGAGACGTAATGTGGTGCCAGTCCATTCAGAGCTTTAAAAAACAAACGGTAAAATCTTAAAATGAATTCTAAAATGAACAGGAAGCCCGTGCAAAGACGCAAGGATTGGGGTGATGTGCTCTCTCCTTTTTGTTCCTGTTAAAGTCGCGCTGCAGGATCAGCGGTTACTCAAACTCCAGGTCTGTTTGTGAGAAGGTCGCAACATTCTGACATGGTTTAAAGCTCACAGGAGTCCGTTTTGCGTAATCTAGGACCTTTAACAGTTGGCCTATTTCCCATGAGTCCACAGTGCAGCTCATGTGAGTAAACAGAATAGAAGAGATGAATGAGAAGTCCACAGTGTTTGTTGTTTGTGAATGAAGTTTGTTCCATCACTTCTGCTGTGTACACATCAGTTTAATTTAGCAGCGCTCGCTAATGAGGCTTTGTTTGTGTCTGTCTTCTCTCTCCTCGCTCTCTCCTCTCATTCCTCTCTTATCTCCTCCTCTCTCTCCACTCTCTCCCTCCTCTTTCTCATTTTCTACTCTAACTCCCCCCCTCTTTCCCTCTTCTCTCTGTCCTTTCTCCAATCTCTCCCCTCTCTCCACTTTCCACTCACTCCTCTTTCCTCTCTTCTCTCTCTGTCTTCTCTCTCCCCTCGCTCTCCTCTCTCTCTTTTCTCCTCCCTCCTCTCTCCATTTTCCACTCACTCTTCTCTCTCCTTCCTCTTTCCTCTCTCTGCTCTTTCTCCTCTCTCTCTCCCTCTTTCTTCTTTCCCTCTCTTTTGCCTCTCTCTCCTCTTTCTCTTGTCTTGCTCTCCTCTCTTCACTCTCGCTCTCTCTCTTTCTCTCTTCTGTCTTTCCTCTCTCCCCTCTCTCTCTCCTCTCTTTTTTGTCTCTCTTCTTTTTCTCTCATCTCTCTCTCCTCTCTTCACTCTCTCTCTCTCTACCTCTGTTTTTCCTTTCTCCCCTCTCTCTCCTCTTTCTCTTCTCTCCTCTCTCTCTTGTCTCTCATCTCTCTCTCCTCTCTCTCTCCTCTCTTCACTCTCTCTCTCCTCTGTCTTTCCTCTCTCCCCTCTCTCTCTCATCTCTTCACACTCTCTCATCTTTCTCCCCTCTCTCGTCTCTCTCTCCTCTCTTCTCTCGTCTCTTTCTCCTTTCTTCACTATCTGTTCTCTCTCCTCTTCTCCTCTGTCTCTTCTCTCCTCTCTTCTGTGGAGTAATTAGACAGACAAAGATCTCTCTCTCTTCTGTGTGTGAATGTTAAAAGGCTGAGGCTGGATGAAAGTGCTGCTGATGAGCTCTCGGTCTCCGGTCTCTCTCTCGGTCTCCGGTCTCGGTCTCTGGTCTCTATAGAATGATGGGACAGGAGGACTCTGCTCGTTACAATAGTCCTCCTGTCGTCGTGTACTGCATCCTGCTTTACTCACGGCTGCTCAGGGGCTGCTCCATTGTCCAAAAGGGGACGCTTCAGTTAGATAACCATTTGTATTCATCTGCGGGAATAATTTGGCTTGCTTCCATCTCATACACTCCTCCTTCCTCCCTTCATCTCTCTCTCGCTGCTCCCCTATACACACACACACACACACACACACACACACATATATATACATACAGTGTATTCATTAGATTTATTTTGGAACCGTGAGCCAAACTGTTGGACAATAGTGTTACAGTGCAGTACCCGGGACCAAGCTCTATAGAGACGAACATAGAATAATCAAAAACTGTGAGAACATGCAACCTCCAGGCACTAAGGTTGTCCCCATAAACTTGCACATCAGGAGATTTCTTGAGCTTAGATTGTCCTCACTAGTGATGGAACAATAACCAAAATATCGTCAAAAGTCTCAGTAATATCGTAGACCATCACATTATATCAACTTACAAGTTTCTTTTCTTAATTTCATAATTATGGTGCAGCAAAAGCTGAGAGAGAGAACTACATAGACCATGATCCCTTGCTCTGTTTCAGTTCAGTCTACATGATGACATAATTGTTATTAAGCACATTTAAATCTTCATTATTTGTACTTGTGCTTGTACTGTGCTTTACAGAGCATTATTCAGCATTATTCATTCACTCCAGACCTGGTGATGGTAAGAAGCCACTATTGTAGCCACAGCTGCCCTGAGGCAGACTGACTGAAGCGCGGCTGCCAATCTGCACCATCGGTCACTCCAACCAACACCACCACTCACATACACACCACTTTCATACTAGACAATGAAGTGTCTTGACAAAGGACACAACAACAGTGACTGGCGCGCCCTGTGGCTCCTGATTTTCCCAGTGTCTCCCATAAAGTCCTGACCAGACCCAGACCTGCTGAGCTTCTGAGATCTGACGAGATCAGGCCACAAATATATTAAATCAAGTTCACCACCAAACGCTGCACTTAGAAAATTCACTTAAAGATTGATGGTGCGTGTGATTCTTTTCTCGTTTGTGATGTAAAATACAACAAGAAAAAACACTGACCAAGAGTTTGTTTTCATACCTGACAGTTTGGACTGCTCACTAGCGCTCTTCTCCAGAGTGGTCACGTGATGTTCCTGTGACGCGTCGGTCAGCTGATTTCAACACGTTTTGGCGCTGTCTTCCTACTGGTGGAGGCAGGATGACAGCGCCATCTTGGTCTGTAAAAAGAACCTGATAACAGAAAATATCAAAGGACCAAATGAATCTCATTGGACTAAGAAAAAACACTGCTTCAGAATAATGTCCCTTCAACTTTTCAACTGAACATTTTCACAATTCACTATTTTTCAAGGCCTCGCTATTTTTCTCGTAATGCCTCATTGTTTTTCTTGTAACTCCTCACGATTTACATCTCTTCTCTAAATGTAGAGTTAAACCTGGAGGCATTTTAACACAGTACACTGCTCTATAGCCGCTCTCAGTCCTGTCCACACAAGCACAGTGCTGTTGAGAGGAGCAGAGAGCAGGCGTCTCTCTGAGCTCCATCACTCTCCTGGAGGACACAGGAGACACATGGAAAGCTCTACACCGAACTGTGTGAAGTCTCAAAGTCAAACGCCATTTGAAGTTTGCTCTCCTGAAGAATAAAGTTTCTCCTTACCTGCCCTCCCTCTCTCCATCTGTCATCCTCTCTCCCTCGCTTCCTCTCTCACCATCTGCCTGCTTCACTTTCTTCCCTTTCTCGCACCCCCTCTTGCTCTCTCTCCCTCTCTCTCTACTTCCTTCTCTCTCCCTCTTATTTACACTCCTCCTTCCTCCCTTCATCTCTCTCGACCTCCTTCTCTTCCATCTCTCTCTCATCTCTTGATACTTGTCTTCACAGGTGGAGTGGCGAAAGTTCTCTCTCTTTCCTTCTCTCCGTCTCTTAAATTCTGATGTTGTCTTCTCAGGTGGTGTGGTGAAAGTTCTCTCTCATCCCCCTCTCCCTCCCTTCCTCTCCCTCTCTCGTCACTCTCTCATCTGTTGATTCTTGTCTTCTCAGGTGGTGTGGCGAAAGCTGGGCGACGCGGCCGGTTCCAAAAAGTCGGTGAGGCAGCATCTCTCCGGAAACCAGTTCAAGGGGCCGCTGTAACTCGGCAACCGGGCCAACGGACAGGAAACGGGAAGCGCCGTCCCAGAGCGCCCCTTTCTACCTCCGCCTACACTACCCATCATGCCGTGCGACTTACTGCCAACAAGACCCAGCGCTGTTATCGTCAGAGTGGTGCAAATACAGCTACACAATGGACTTTTCATACAACTTTATTTGTACATTTTTGAAACAGTTTGTGAAGCGTTGACAACTGGCAGCTAGTTTCATCACTTCGCCGTTTTATCGCTTTTATCGGTTCAGATACACAATAATCTGCTACTAAACCTCTTTTATTATCTCCACGTTCAACTCTGAAGACTCTTTTAGCGATTGTAAACAACATACATCATCTAATAACATTTTTTTTAGATTTATTTGTGGACAACGAATATTATATGATCAAATTATATTAAAATTAAAGGTATACTGATCAGTCCTGGAAGAACTACTGTTGTGTTAAGTAAAAGTACAGATACTGGAGCAAAAAAACCCACTCAAGTTAAAGTATCATATAATTCTACTCAAGTAAAAGTATTAAATTAAGTATAAGTAAGTATATTTAAGGTCCCATATTGCTCTATTTTTTCATCTTTTATAATGTTGTTTCCTCGTCACAAACAGACCTGGAGTTGCAGATTTAGGCTGAGTTCTTCTCTCAAACTGAAAACACTCTGTTCCACCTTGTGATGTCATGTGGTGATACAGAAAGTGCTCCACTGTGTTTTTAAACTTCACACACCTTCACTAAAATCATTTGGATCATTTTAGCCCTGGAATTGTCAATCTGTAAAAGTAAAAGGAGCTGCTAATTTGAAATAAACTGCTTCATGACATCACAAGGTGGAACAGAGCATTTTGAGTTTTGGAGATGTAGACAGACTCATAATAAAGAGTTACTCAAACATGTGTGAATGAAACAAAACACAACTCCAGCTCTGTTTTTGAGGAGGGAACACAAGAGTACATGGTTTGTAATTTGGACCTAAAATTTGGAAACAGTGGCGTAATGTTCTTAAAAAGGGTAGTAAACATTAGCCAACAGTAGCTAGCATTGCTACTGCTAACATTTTGCACATTTAGCGACTAATGCTAACTCACGCACTTAAACCGAAGAAATATAATCAAACGTGGATGGCGTCGTGTTGTTTTCAGTGGTCTGTGCTCTTTGGCTCATGGGCCCAAAAGTCATTTTCTCTTCCCCATTTACTTCCTCAATACGGACAAGCTTCTCTCACCGGTGTGGCGTCTGTAACGTGCATGGAGCGTGGAGAGTTTGGACCATGGATCTATTAAAATGACTGGATAGGCTATTGCTGTTGAAAAAATCCCTCCGGCCGAGAAAGAATTTTTCTCATAGAGCGCAGTGTAATCACAAACTGCTCGTGTTCATCTGACAGGGACGTCCAACTTTCAAAAATGTTGGATTTTGTGGCGATTTTTACTTGTTTTTAGATCATAAACTTTTTCAAAATCCTTCAGTTGTCTTAAAAAACACTTTATGATCGTTCACGCCGGCTCTGCTCCAGCTCCTCTCGCTCTGATTGGTCAAAGCGATCACGTGATACATGTGTGCGCTCACGTGCATCGCGGGAGAAAAGACTCTACTGCACATGCTCAGTCGACCCAGGGCCACCGGAAGAACCTCACCAGGCTCAAGGCAAATCTGGAGTCATGGGCCCAGTCGAAGCCAGAGCCAGAGTTAATGATTATAAAGTGTTTTTTAAGACAACTGAATGATTTTGAGATGAAAAAAAGTTTATGATCTAAAAACAGGTAAAAATCGCCACAAGACGTTTTTGAAAGTTGTACGTCCCTGTCAGCCGAACATGAGCAGTTTGTCATTATATTGCCTCTATGAGAAAATCCTTTCTCAGCCGCTGTAGTACCAGTGAGTGTCACTACGCCACCTGGAGGCAACTACAAGCAGCAACACCTCCAGTTATTTGAACAGATCCATGGTTTGGAGCAGTCAGAGCGAGAGCTGCTAGAGCGGCTCAGAGTGGGACGAGGCTCAGTCTGACAAAGATCACTTTTAGGCCCTTTGAGGATTTAAACATTTTAAAAACTTTTTATTGTGAAAATAGAAAAGAATCCTACAAAATCCGACCTTTGTGACCTGTCAGAACACGGGCAGTTTGAATTCCCAAAATACATTGTGCTCTGTTAGAATTCTTTCTGGGCCCAAACTCCCAGAGCTGCAGTACCTGGAGCGACCACTAGTCTGTCTGAAGGGGCTTATCCAGATTTTATTCCAGATCCGTGACTTAAACACACTCGCTCTTATGTTGTTTACAGACGTTCTTAGCGTCTTTCGCCGTCCACTAATGCCACTCCATGGTTCCAAGCACAGAAGTGAAAAGGGGGCAGAAAATTCTCGTTAAGGGTTCTGTATCGTGACAGGACTTCCTGATAGTATCTCCTCTAGAGACCCCAGCTCTTGTCACTTGTATCGCCCCCTAGTGGTTAGAACTAGCATTAGCTTTAACCTGTAAGAAAAGTAAAATCCCACTGTGACCTAGCGCCTTCTCGCTCATGATAATAACTTAATGGAAAACTTAAACTAGAGCTCACTGTTAACTTGTGTATATGATGTATAAACCATAGCACTACCATTGTTATTCTAATGTTGATTTTGTATTCTAGCGTGGCCATGTGATCAAAGATTTGAGTTTGTAAAGCACACACAGCTGGACCTTGAACAGGGTTTGTTTTTTTTGGTAATAATTAACATAATATTTTAACAGATTAATGTAATTTTATTGTTTTGTTTTATTTTTTTAACAGTATGGAGCCCATTTCCAAACATAAGTTGATCAAATTGAATATAAGATGTACGCTGTGTGCATGCTGACAATCATTTTCTCAGGTCGGGGGGCTCTACAGCTTTATCTAGTCCATAATTGTGAAATAGAATTAAGAGAAAGAAAGAGATGGACTGTTATTTGCAGCTGTAGTGTTTGTACGGTGCCCCTGATGGTCCATTTTATGTTTTTATTTTTCATTTTTTTTATTTTGTTGATTCCTTTCTTCATGAAGTATTAATAACCATCTTTAATAAATAATAATAGTATACTTGCGTTGCATTTTCTTATACATTTTGATCGATATATTTATTCACACTTGGGTGGCATGACAATTTGAAAATGTAGATATTGTACAAATGCAATTCAAATGTGTTTTTTGATCATGATTGGACCTTCAGAGCCACCGTACATCTGCCTGTGCTAAAGACATTTGCTGAATTTACACTGTTCTCACCCAATGGTGTCATGTGACCCAAACAACTATAACAAAATATTTATAATATTAAATAACAATTAATAAAACTGCAAAGGCCCATATGACACTATTTTCTGATCTATGTTCTAATGTTTCCTCATCACAAACAGACCTGGAGTTGTATTTTGTTTCATTAACGCTGTACAATTTAAACTGAGTTCTTCTCTCAAACTGAAAACACTCAATACAGGAAGTGCTCCACTGTGTTTTTAAACTCCATATATCTTCACTAGACTCGTTTGGATCATTTCATCTCTGGAATTGTGAATTTCTACTGAACTTAACGTAAAAGGAGCGGTTAACTTGAAAACTATCTCTTCATGACATCATAAACTGAAGAGGCTTTGGAAACAGCTTAATAATAAAGTGTTACACAAACATGTGTGAATGAAACAAAACACAACTCCAGTCTGTTTTTAATGAGGTTACAACATTACACAAAAGTTAAACACTCACAAGAGTCAGTTTTGTGTAATACAGGACCTTTAATAGAGCTGCTCAGTGGTGAACTCAGCAGATGTTTGAGCAGCAGGTTTCTTGTGTGAGATAAAGTCTTCCTTCCCTCAGATGCTCAAACTCAATACAGTTTGTCCAAGTATTTATTTCCAGGTATTTGATATGGGGGCACTTTAACTATGTCCATTAAAGGTGCACTGTGTAACTTTTTTGGTAGAGGGTCTGCCTCCTGCTTGTTTCCTTGCCAGTGTTATCGCTTTGCCTTGAATGTTCCACAGTATGACATTAGATTTGTGCATCTTGTATTGCAGTTATGGTCAGTGGATATAGACAAGTTTAATGCCATACTGTGGAACTTATCCACCTTATTCCAGAAGTTTCCGTTAGCGCTGCCATCATCATTGGGGTTAGGGCTGGGTATCATTCAGAAGTTGCTGATACAATACATACTTTGATACAGAAGCCATGATACGATACATACCGCGATACAGTGACTTTTCGATTTGATACAATTCAATATGACATATTTCACATTGATTAGATACAGTTCAATATAAAATAAAGGCTAAATCATGTCTGTGACACTATAAAAGTCTTTGTTAAACCACGTCTTGTGCAAACTGAATATGAAAAAACACTCATTTTAATCGAAACTGTGAAAATGTCAAATGTGTCGCATAAACTAAACAAGCAACAAAACTGTAACAAAATAATTTACCCAGAATAAACCAAAAAATATTCTTGGTGGTATATCAATGCAGAAGCCCACGATATCAATACTGTATCATCACATTAAATGATACGATATGTCGATATTTCAACATTTGTGCACACCCCTAATATGGCTGTGTTATTTTGTAAGGGGCCAAACAGTAAATCAATTTTATGTGGACTATAAAGCCGTTTCAAAGCCTCCAGAGAATCAGTTCAGTGGGACGTGTTGGTCACATGAACATTTTACACGAACAAACCGATTTTGTCAGGTTTAAGATGTTCCCAAACGTTTCCCAAATTCTCCATGGACATGAATGGGATTCCCTTTGAACCAGAAGTGCTACGTCAAGAAAGCACGGTTTAAAAGCATTGAGAGGCAAAAGTGGGCAGGGCTGAATAAGGTGGATAAGACAAAGCAATAACATCTCCATGGAGACAAGCAGGTTGAGGACCCTCCACCAGAAAAGTTACACATAGCATGCCTGTCTCTCCTGATCAAAACAATAAAGTTAAAGGTTTATTATGTAACTTTTCGGCTAGAGGGTCCACCTGCTTTGTTTGGAATGTTCCACAGTACAGCATTTTTCATTTGTGCATTTACAGGCATTTCTATTGCCTAAATACTTGGTTTAACTTGGTGTGATGAGGTTGAAATTTCACAAGTGTCAATTTTGTGTAATACAGGACATTTTAATGCCATTCTGTGGAACATTGCAGGCAAAAGATCCTGGAGAATAGAAGGTTTTGGACCCTCCACCTGAATCGTACATAGTTCGTCTTTGAGTAGGCTACAAGTGTCCTTTTTTGTAGGAACCAATTTGAAGCCATGAAACTCTTTTAACTTTTTTAACAGGCATCGATTTGAGACGTGCCACAGTTTTTCTGCATGGTGTTTTCATTTGGAACCTGACTGTTTTTACTAAATGTCTATGTAAATTAAAGGTGCATTGTGTAACTTTTCTGGTGGAGAGGGTCTGTCAAATGCTTTTCCATGGAGAGTCAGATCTGTGGAGAGGCGGCCGCGCTCACAGTCAGAATGTCTGTTTTTCAGGGGAATTTTTGAGCTATAAAACCACCTGTAATTGAATTAATGTCACACTGTGGAATATTCCAGACAGTAAAGACATCTCCATAGAAACAAGCAGGTGACAGACCAACAACCAAAAAGTTACACAGTGCACCTTTAAGAGTCTTACAGTGTATGTCTCTCCCTGTAGAAACTAGCATGACCTTAACTTGTCTAAACATTGAGACTGCAGGTAAAAGAGAATCTGAAATAGGCCACTTTTAGAAACTATTACAGTAAATAAACAAAATGTTGCTTTAAAATGATGCGTGTTTGTGTTTGTGTTGAATCTATTAGCATTTCACGAGCTACACTGCCCTCTGGTGGTAGAAAAAGGGAGAACGAAGGATACAGCTTTTTTACAATCCTAAAACAAAAAAACAAAACAAAAAATGAAAATAATAAAAAATAAAAAATCTGGTTATTAGATCTGAGTTCTTTTCTTAAATAGAAACACTCTGTTCCACTTTGTGATGTCAGGTGATAAAAGTTAAATGGAGGTTCTAGTTGGAGTTATTTACCAGAGTTGATATGGCTGAAGTCAGAGGTGGGACCAAGTTGTTTTGCAAGTCTCAAGTAAGCCTCAGTAAGTCTTTGACCTCAAGTCCGAGTCAAGTCCCAAGTCAAATACAGGCAAGTCCAAGTCGAGTCTCGAGTCACTGGTCCATAAGTCGAAGTCAAGTCCAAGTCGTCTCCTTTAAGCGTCAAGTCATTTTAAGTCTTTGAACTATAAAAGTACCAAATATAGTTTAGATTTTTGCAGTTTGTATGAATTTTAAGGTAAATTGTACTTTAAAAAATCATATATTTAAATATAAGTATTTATAGGGCATGTAGGAATTGTAGAAATGTATTTTTTTCCTTTTTAAATGTCTTGACAAGATCATAGTGTGAATCATTACGGTCAAAAAAGAAAGAATGAAGATTTAAGAGTGCTTAATAACAGTTATTTTGAAATGGAAGGATGATGTTCTTTACTGTATTGTACTGTATATTACTGTAGTACATTTGAGAATACCACATCACAGTACTTCAGTTACATCATAGTTTTAGGAGAAGCATCAAGTCTTCTCAAGTCACAGGCCTCAAGTCTGAGTCAAGTCCCAAGTCACTGACTTTCAAGTCGAGTCCCAAGTTTTTGTCTGTTTGATTAAGTCCTCAAGTCCTAAAAGTCTGACTTGAGTCCAAGTCACGACTTGCAAGTCCAACCTCTGGTGAAAAGTCCTCAAAATGGCACCGATAGTGAAATGAAACTCATAAATAAAATTGAAAACCACAGAGTGATGCTGATGGCTCACAAGAAAGATATTACAAGTAAATGGTTGAAGAGAGATGCTTTAAACAATATAATGGAGATATAATGGAGAAAATTTATGTAATGGAAAAAAATATGTATTATTTGAGATTGAAAGCTGGTGAATTTGAGAAGAGATGGTCAAAATGGACTATTTACAAAGCTCACTCCAACATATAAACTGGTATTTTTTGTAGATTGCCTTAGTTTGTGTGTTCTTTTATGCATATTTGTAACATTTTGTTTGCATACCAGAGTTTATTAAAAAGGTAAAATGAGCTGTTAACTTGAAAACTACCACTTCATGACATCACATGGTGGCACAGAGCATTTTGAGTTTTGGAGCTGTAGACAGACTAATAATAAAGAGTTACTCAAACGTGTGAATGAAACAAAACTCCAGATACGTTTTTGAAGACGTAGCAATACCACGATTTACTCAGTGTTGTTAAAGATGCATTGTGACTTTCCTTGTGGAGGGTCCGTCACTTGCTCGTCTCTATGGTGATGTGATTACTTTGTATAGAATGTTCCACGGTAGAGATTAAATTTATCTAAATCAGTGGAGACAACTATATGCTAGTGTACAGGACTACAGGTCATATCTGTAGTTGCCCCTATTCACAGAGAAAATTCTTGTATTTTTGAGCAATAGAAACACCATGGAACATTCCTGGTAAGCGATAACATCTCCATGGGGACAAAAAGGTGACAGACGCTCCAGACAAAATGAAATCCAGTCAGACTCCGAGTAGGAAAGAGCAGGTCTTTATTGTCCTAAGTGTTGACACAAACCGAAACTGCACGATCAGCACAGAGGAGGCTAAGGCACAGAGTGGAGAATCTCGAATAATCTACATGAACAAAGCAGATATGTACAAAATGCCCCAAAATCCAGTGTTACACAAGGATGGTCCCACCCAGAGTTTTCCTGCAACGTCACATCCTCAAAACAACGTGTTCAAAAGACGAGGAGACAATGGCAATTGTAAATAAAGATGAAAATAATTTGACATTCAGTAGGTAAAAATTGGGACGTAAAGGTGCATTGTGTAGCTTTTCTGGGGGAGCGTCCATCAAATCCTTTTCTCCATGGAGACCAAACCAGATCAAGTTACAGGCCAGATCTGTGGAGAGGCGACCCCGCTCACAATCAGAGTATCTGTTTTTTTTTTTAGGTATTTTTGACACACAAAACCACCTGGAATAGAATAAATGTCAAGTCGAGCTGTTTAATGTCACACTGTGGAACATTCCAGACCGAGCAATGACATCTCCATAGAAACAAGCAGGTGATGGACCCCCAGCTTAAAAGTTACAGAGTGCATCTTTAAGCAAGCATAGCATTCATAGTCCAATATATACTGTATAAAAAAAAATGCAAAAATGCCACATTTTTCAATCTGACAAATCAAAACTATATATTTTTTGGTCTTGGAAACATACATTAAAGTTTCACTGTGTGACTTTTCTAGTAGAGGGCTCCCCAGTTACTTGTCTCCATGGAGATGTTATTGCTTTACCTCCAGTATTCTAAAGTATGACATTAAACTTTTCAGTCTCCGTAGAAACAAGCAGGAGACACCACCAGGGCGAGTTACAGGTGAGATCTGTGAAGAGGCGACCCCACTCGCACTAAGAATACATGTTTTTAAAGACGTTTTTGTGCAATAAGCAAAGCCATAATCAAATAAATGCATCTTTTCTCCAAATTTAGACCCCTAACCTGAAAAGTTACACAGTGCACCTTTAAAAGTCCATATTTATTTTGCATTTGCTTTCGCATATCGAACGCTCCGTCTTCAGCCTTTCCTGTGGTCCAAATGTGACGTCACTGAAAACTCTGGGCTGACCGGCGATGTTTGTAATTCGATGAAATACTATTGGAACACAACGAGAGTTTAAAGGCGACTTCTATGAGAGCTAATGAGAGACAGTGTTCAGCTAAAGATTCAACATAATAATAAAAATTAAAAAAACAACTGCAGGGTCACAGTCAAATTCAAAACACAAATTAACAATGAACAAAGTTTGCAGAAAATATGCTTCAGTTTTAACTTGTGATGTTTCGTGGTTCTACTGAATGAGGAAATAATTCATCATATTGTACCCATCAAGTTCTTTAAAGGTCCTTTTATTACGCAAAATGAACTCTTATGAGCGTTAAGTCAAGTTATAATCAAAAACAGAGCTGGAGTTGTGTTTTGTTTCATTCACGCACGTTTAAGTAACGCTGTGTTATTAATCTGATAATATCTCCAAATCTCAAAACAAAGATTGGCAATTCTGGGCTTCAAATCTTCCAAATGATTCTAGTGAGTATAAAAACACAGTGGAGCACTTCCTGTATTTCCAAAGTGGAACAGAGTGTTTTCAGTTTGAGAGAAAAGAGTCTAAATGTGCAGGTTTGTGTGTTAAACATGTGAATGAAACAAAACACAACCCCAGGTCTGTTTGTTGACGAGAAAACATTATCACAGATGAAAAATGGCGTAATATGGACCTTTTAAATGCATCATTAAAGCCTTTTTCCTAATTCAAGTTGGCATTGACGTCCTGTGCCCTTTTGAAAATGGCAAAACACGACTTCCTGCGTTTTATTTGCAAAATGTTGTACAGAGTTTTTAGATTTCGGTTTCATCTCATCCAGCCTCCGCGATTTAACAGCATACCCGGTGGAGGAGGGGGGTGAGGGACTGGCGACTGTCCGGGCACGGGGGGCGGGGGCGGGTACCCGGGCGGGTGTAGGCCTATGCCCGGAGGGGGTACGTGAGTGTGTGCCATCCTGGGCGGAGGAGGGGGAGGCGGGTAGCTGTTGTACCCGGGCGGAGGGGGGAACGCCGGGGGTAAGTTGGGCGGAGGGGGGTACGTGGAGGGCGGGGGTCCCGGGGGAGGAGGGGTCGGGGGCGGGTAGACGTGGTGGTAGGGCGGCATCGGGGGAGCGTACCCGGGGGGCAGGGGCGGGTAGGCGGGCGCGTCAGTCTTCATCATGGACTGCAGGCTCTGGAAGCCCTCCCCGGACATGTACGAGCTCGTGGTGGACATGACGTAGCTGGAGGGGGGGAGGGGGAGGAGGGCGGTGGGGCAGAGGGGGAGGCTGCTGAGGGGGCGGGGCCAGAGGAGGGGGAGGAGCCACTTCACTTCCTGGTTCGGCCTCAGTGGGAGGGGCAGGAACCGGGGCCTTGCGCTCTGTGGAGAGAAGCAACGAAAACAAATTTAGAGTCTCGAAAACTGCATTAAAAACCTCAATCTGGTCTCAGATGACTACAGGTGTGAAAAAATATCAAAATAAAGATATATCGTATTGTTTAATGTATCATATCTTTTAATGTGATGATACAGTATCGATATTGTGGGCTGCTGTATCGATATATCACCAAGAGTATTTTTTGGTTTATTTTACTAAATTATTTTGTTACAGCTACAGTTTTGTTGTTTGTTCAGAGGAAGGAAACTCGTTTATGTGACACATTTGACATTTTCACTCTTATGTTAAATGTTTGTGTTTCATATGAACTTTCATATGAACACAAGAAGTGATTTAACAAACATTTAACCATGATTTAGACCAGGCATGTCCAAACTATGGCCCGTGGTCCAAATGCAGGCCTCAGACACATTTTTCGCAGGGCTTCATTACTGTTCCGAGCGTCGGGACTGGCCCAGAGGTGCATGGACACCGTCGGGTGACCGCAGGCGAAAGGACTGACACAGAGGGCTAAGCGCAGCCGTCACCCGATCACACTTTGTGGACACCCTGCTCCACGGGTTCAGGGTTCTCCCTCTCTCTCAAATCTAAGATAAGTCCTGTTTCAGTCCTGGTTCAGTCCTGGTTCAGTCCATATGCAGCACAAACGTTGCATCTTCACTCGCTGATACTGTGAAAAAGCTTTGGTCAAATGACTTTAGACCATGGACGCCCTGTACCAAGATGGCAGTGGTATTCAAGCATGCCAAGAGACTGAACACCAGAGCTACCAGTCCATATCTATGGTTAGTCATTCTCACCTTTTTGTGGAAAATCAAACACTTAAATCAGAACATCTATGTTGCATTTATCCTGAAGTTTTCAGACGATATTAAAACGTTTCTGGTTGTGTTTGCTAATGTGTGCATTGTGTAACTGCTGCTATTTTGTCAATAAATACATTCCTAAAATGGAACTTGGCTCCAATAACCCCTATAATTATATATATTCACCCCTATAACTGCAGGCCTCTGTGAGCTTCATTTGACTGGAGTTGAAATCTATGGGTGATGTCACACTCCTTCCACTTCTTTATACAGTCTATGATAATGTACCTGTAACTTACATTATAGTGATTTTAGTTCTATATAATAAAATCTAAATATGTGGATATAAAGTTAGTGGAAAAATTGTTTTTAAACCACACATAATACATACACACACACACACACACACACAATATAACACATCCACAGACCTGCACTCAGACACACAGGATTCTCCTCCACTAATCTGCTGCTCTGAAGCCTTTGGGAGGTTTTCTAATGTCCAGACAAGACTCCACTATAATCAGACTAAAGACTTCTGCAGGGGGTATGGCTGCTCATTATAAAACCATTTACAGACAGTTCACATATTTGCTTTGGACGCTGCTTGAGGTCACTTAGAACTTAAATTAAGTAGGAACACAACTCACCCGGAGGAGGAGGCTGGGGAGAAGGCAGGGGCGGCATGGGGCTCTCCAGACGCGGGATTTTTGATCCAACTTGTTCTGTTAATGGAGCAGAGCAGCTGTTAGACAAATGTGTCTGAGCTAATGGAGCCCACAGCAGGCAGTCCTCATACCTTACAACAGGAGACTAATCATGTCCATTTAGAACAGACACTATAGACGCGCACTGAGGAGAGCTCATAGGGCGTCCAATGTGTGCACTTAATGTTCATTAAGGGAGACTCGTTTAAAACTACTTTACAGTTTGCATAGGAGAATACAGGGGCTTACCTGGAGCCTTTGGTTCTTCTTTAGGGGAGGCCTGAAACAAAAATATACATACACCTGTATTACACAAAAATAACTCTTAAGAGATTTAAGCCATAATGTTACCTCTTTAAAATTATATTTGGAGTTGTGTTTTGTTTCATTCACATGTTTGAGTAATCCTGCATTATTAGTCTGTCTACATTTCCAAAGCTCTCTTCCACCCTGTGATGTCATGAAGTGGTAGAAATCATCCAAATGATTCTAGTGAAGGTGTATGGAGTTTAAAAACACAGTGGAGCACTGTGTATTATGACATGACATCACAAGTTGGAGCAGAGAGTTTTCTGTTTGAGAGAAGAACTTATCCTGATTATGCAGGATTTGTTTAGTTTGTGTGTAAAGTTGCACTATGTAACTTTTCTGGTGTAGGAGCTGCCACCTGCTTATGCCCATTGTAAATGGAGATGATATTATGCCTTGAATGTTCCATAATACAGCATTTAATTTGTTATCTGAATGAAGACAGGTCATGTTACAAATCAAATCTGTGCAAAGACATAATCACTCAAAAGAATAAGGCAGACGAGAATCGTTGAGAAAAACACCAGTAATTGAATGTATACTTGTTAGATATGTTTAATGCTAAAAAGTGGAACATTTAAGGCAAAGCTGGACCATCTCCATGGGGACAAGCAGGTCCACTCCACCTGGAATGGACTACATACTCTATCTTTACATGTAAAAAGTATTGAGTCAGTAAGTGTACATTGTTCCCAACTGAATGCCAGTACTCACATGTGTGCGTTTGAGCTGACGCGCAGGACTGCCCCCTGGTGGTGAGGTCTTCTTTGGTGGAGGAGGTGGGGGGTTGCTGGGGGGAGGAGGAGGTCCCTGTGGCACTGGAGGAGGAGGAGCAGAGGTCCTCTCTCTCTCCTGCATCTGCTGTGGGATGGGCTTGTTCCCCTGAGAGTACAGGTCCAGGATCTGATGGCAGATGTCTGGAGAATACAGTTTTATTCAGAGGATGAGTTCTGCTTTAGTCAGGGCTTTCAAACACCTTTGGAAACCTTTGCATTTGAATTTCACATTTTAGAACTTTAAATAATGTATATGGTTGGACTCGGGAAAGATCTTATGCAGCACTTTCACTTTTCTTCAGACGCTTGGGTCTCTGAGGCTCTGCGTTGCCGATGGTGGAGACGTTTAGCAGCAGCGAAATGTGTCTCAAAGCCAATACAAACTTTTATCCAAACATAAAATAGAAAACAACCAATTCAAATTAAAGCTGCATTGCATAAGTTTTCTGGTAGAGGTTCCACAATCTGCTTGCAGGCTTCCCACTCTTTTTCACTGAAAAAATTTCAAAACTTTTCCATGACTTTTTCATGAGCTAAAGTGAATTTTCCATGACTTTACAGCACCAACATGTGTAGAATTGATCAGACTTTTAGAGCTAAATATGAAATGGGAACTCTTTCCACTCACTTTATGGTTTGGGATTAGAGTGTTTGAACATTCTAAATCCTGTCAGTGCATTTATTGTCGTCTCTTTTAAACAAAAGACGCTTGTCTCCATGATGAATATGGTTTTGCTTTGCCTAAATCTTTTACAGTTTCCTGTTTCCATGGAGACAAGCAGGTAATGCCACCGGGCCAAGCTATGGGTCAGATCTGTGGAGAGGCAGGCCCACCCTTAAGTGTTTTTCAGTGTATTTTGGAGCAATAAAAACACCTGTAATTAAAATAAATGTCTGATAAATTTAATGCCATACTGTGGAACGTTCCTGGCAACCCTAGCTCAGGCAGCAGTATAACCTCAACCAGAAAGCTGAAGTTTGTGGAGTTATTTTAATATTTTTATACCTCAAACGTATTAGTGTTAGAATAGAGATAAAAAGACCCATCATTCGAAACACAGAAGTGTCCTTGGATGAAGCATCTCATTTGTAAACTTGAATCTGCTGTGATGGAAATGTACTGACTGTAAAGTACGTTCTGCACCGTGAGTAAGGTGTACAGTTACATAGTATTGTATTTCTAGAGAACAAATGAAGATGTTACAAAGGTAAAAAGCAAAATAAACATACATTTGACTGTGTTCTAGTAATATTAAAGTTGGTCAAATGCTTTAGTTTTTTTTTTTTTTTTTTACCTTCGAGCAGCTCCACGGGCACGTCCTGCACAAACTGCTCCCACCAGCGTCTGGACGGCTGCTTCGTGGTCCACTCCTGGATGTCAAACTTACAGAGACGTCCGGCCAAATACATGACGGCCACGGCGATGATCTCAGGCTCCCACTGCAGGGACAGCATCGTGCACAGGCTGCAGGACAGGACAGGACAGGACAGGGGGACAGGTATACTCACATCAGTCACAGTCATAGTTTTAATACAGAAGTTTTGTTTTTTTTGTTCAGGACAAGAATGTCTCAAGTTGATCAGTTTTTTTAGACTCTTTTTTTTCATTTCAAATGTATCAAATTTCTCTTTTTTTTTTTGACAAATCGCAAGAGGAAGTAGATAATCTCTTTTATTCCTACTTCTCACTAACTTTTTGATACAGACCCCAGGTTTTTTACCAAAGCAACATTTTATACTGCAATATTGATCTAAAATTATTTAATAAAGAAACAAGTTCACTTTCATGTTAAAAAAATGCAGTACCCTACTTCATCACAACAGAGTTTGCACCTCCAGTAAGTACAGAGCAGTGGATGTGTGCTGATGGAGGTGAAAATGGGCATCGATCTGCAATATGGTGTCTTGAGACATTAAATAAGATTAAAGATTGCTCAAATATGCTTGATTCACTCCAAATACAAATTTGGGTGAGTAAAAGACAAGGGGAAACAACGATAACATGGTTAAAAGCACTGAAAAGTTGATTTTGCACAATATTTTCTTCCATTAAAGCAGACCCATCTGCTTTAATGGAAGAAAATATTGTGCATCTCCCTCCTTTTGATTCTTGTATTATCAAGTAGATTGTTCAAAAAGATAAACAAAAAGGGAGCATGTTCCTGTATTATCAAATATCTGTTACCAACCTGTCATTGACAAAGGTCCATGCCATCTGTAGTACTTTGCAGACTTTATTCTTGTCCCCTGTAATAAAACATATTTGAGTTCTCTGCTGATTCTCGGATATGTTTTTGACTCACAGTATTTTTTTTTAATTCTCTTATCTGTGCGTCACCTTTGAGCTGTTTGACGTAGCGCAGCAGGAACATGTACGGGTGCTCCACCATCAGGTCAAACTTTATTGTCTGGAGCAGGATTCTCTCCAACACCATCACCTCCTCCTGCGGAAACAAAACAGCACACGCAACTTTAAAATGTGTAAAGGGTAACTTTTCTGGTGGAGGGTCCATCAAGTGCTTTCCTCTATGGAGATGTTATTGCTTGGTCTGGAATGTTCCACAGTGTGGCATTAAAACTTTCTATCTTCATGGAGACCAAACCAGACCACGTTACAGGTCAGATCTGTGGAGAGGCGACCCCGCTCACAGTCACAATGTCTGTTTTTCTAGGTATTTATGAGCTATAAAACCACCTGTAACTGAATAAGTGAAAGGTTGAGCTGTTTAATGCCATACTGTGGAACATTCCAGGCAGAGCAGTAACATGTACCCATAGAAACAAGTAGGTGACAGACACCCATCCAAAAAGTTTCAAAGTGCACCTTTAAAATAGGTTTGTGGTTGAAAAAGCTTCAGTTATACAAGACATTAAACACATTCAACAGTCTTTAGTGAGAACGGTGCTGTCTATGATCTCCTACATTAAGTCAGAAATTGTTGCCTTCATTAATTTACGGCCATAATAAAAACCCTTAACCCCAACCAAAATGATGAGCCTGACAGTAGTAGTTACAAAGAGTCTTTCAATATAAAGTGAACTGAAACCAGAGTTGATGGAACCAGAAGCACGCTCCCTGGGTTAGCCATGTCCATTTCTATTTCATATATCTTGTGTAGAGAGACTAATAATAATAGTAAAGAGTTATTCAAAGATGTGTGAATGAAACAAAACAAATGTATGTTTTTGAAGAGAGAACAGTGTTGGCTAAAGGTCATGAGTCAATATTGTGAAATACAGGACCTTTCATTTTTCCCACATTAGCTTTAGCCTCTATATCTTTTTGCATAATTTTTCTTGTCAAAACCTGGACATGTGTGAACAATAAAAAACAACTACAACTATAACTACTAGTACAACTACTACAACTACAAGTACAACTACAAGTACAACTACAAGTACAACTACAAGTACAACTACAAGTACAACTACAAGTACAACTACTACTGCGTTCACACTCTTTTTCACTCACAAAATTTCAAAACTTTTCCATGACTTCACAGCCCCTACATGTGTAGAACTGATCAGACTTTTAGGGCTAAATCTGAAATGTGAACTCTTTCCACTCACCTTATGGTTTGGGATTAAAGTTTTTGAACATTCAAAATCCTGTGAGTGCATTTATTGTCGTCTCTTTTATACAAAAGGCGCAGATGTTTGGAAATAATCATAATAGCCTCAACTTCACAAAACGATGTAGTTGCATGAAACAGATACTAAAATCCCATGACTTTTCCAGGTCTGAAAATGACATTTTCAATTTCCGTGACCATGGGAACCTTCCTACTAACACCAGCATCATGTAGATTAAATACGGACATTAACATAAGTTGAAAATGATGAGCCTGACAGCAGCAGTTACAGAGAGAGGAGCAACACTTTTTCAGTAGAAGGTGAACTGGAGCTGAGTCGATGGAGCCGGAAGTGCCCCCATGCTCGCTTCCTATTTGGAGCGCAGTGGTGAGCAGGTTCATTTATATATCCAGTCTCTGATGTAAACACAGTGATAACACATACCTTTGCATCATCTCCAAACTGGGCAAACTGCACAGGGTTCAGAAGCTCTCGGGCTGTTCTGATGATGTCTTTACACTTCTTTGGAGTTTCTTCCACTTTCCCGGCCAAAAACAGGCAGCAGGCACCAGTCACCTGTTACAACACACAATAACATCAGGTGTGTATCCATGTACGATAATATGAACTCCAAACTGACAGACTTACATATCTGGGGAACTGCTTAAATGAATGGAACATGTAGAATCTGTGGAAATATATGATGCCAGTCGCCAGTGTGTCATAATGTCTGATCATGGAAATTAAGAAAAATATCAAAGAACAAAGTCAATAAGAAGAACAAAAGTTAAATAACAGAAATAGACTAATTATTTAATGAGGCTGTGTTAAAATCTGCATCCAGGCAACACATCATACTTATACGAATAAACACAAATCCAAGTCAAGTCAAGTCTGATGGTGTGTGAATTACTCTGAAGTTCTAATATTTTTATTTAGACACAAATCTAAGATGTTTTTGTCCAGTTTCATTTTCTTAATCTGTGATGCACGCAGGATTCAGCACCATCGTGGAGGTATTTTGTTTTTCACTATTCACCAATATAATAAGCAGCTTTCTATAGGAGGAGCTGATAACTTCACAGCTCTTTGTTGTGATGATGTTTACAGCGACATCAGCTCCCATTGGGCATCACAGTTTGAAACGTGGAAAACAGCACAAGTCATTTTATATGAATACTGTGATTTAAAATGTGCAAATTATAACATAAAGACTCACAGGGGTCATAGATTATAACTATATAGCAGACACAAGCATAGGTCTTCTTTAAAGCCTTAGTTGTTTATTTTGGACCTGTGTAGGGAGCATTCACACTTAAGTTAGTTTATCTGCCATTTGTAATTAAAAAACAACACTGGGAGGAAAAAACAAAACAAACAAACAAAATGTGCAAAAAGCTCAAAGTGCAACATGAGACATTAAAAAACACACCTAAGACTAAGACTAAACTCAGAACTAAGCCTGGACTAGACCAGGCAGGACTAAACCAGGACTAGAACAAGGCAAAACAAAATCCACATCAACAGTAAACAGGGGTTTATAAACCAGATCAAAACAAGCAGTCAGTCAAACTTAGTAATAAGTGCTTTTCAGTGCAACTTTAGTCCTGGTTTAGTCCTGGTTTTTAGTCCTGGTTTTTAGTCCTGGTTTTTAGTCCTGGTTTTTAGTCCTGGTTTTTAGTCCTGGTTTTTAGACCTGGTTTTTAGACCTGGTTTTTAGACCTGGTTTTTAGACCTGGTTTTGACCAGTTTTAGACACACTTTAGGCCCAGGTTAGACCAGTTTTAGATCAGTTTTAGACCTATTTTAGACCTATTTAAAACCTGATTTAAACCTATTTTAAACCTGGGTTAGACCAGTTTTAGACATATTTAAGATCTGGTTTAGATCTACCAACTTTAGTCCTGGTTTAGTCCTGGTTTAGTCCTGGTTTAGTCCTGTTTAAGACCTGGTTTAGATGTGGTTTAGACTTCATAGTACCCAGAAAGCCAACTATTATCTTTGTTGCTACTTGGTGTGAAAAGTGTGACTGATATAAAAGGATACAGGCCGAGGCGAGTGCCCACGTCAAAGATAAAACGTGCTCCTTCTCTCCTGTAGCGAGCCTCTGTCCCCGGGTCCAAGCCCTCGGCCTGGGACGGCGTGTGGGCCAAGTCCTTCTTGTCCCAGTACCAGCACGGTTTAATGTGGTCCAGAACCGCCCGCGCAGACATGGACAAACTCTCCTTTGAGTCCTTCATTGGCTGAGGAGAGGAAACACTGGAGGGACCTGCTGTGCCAGACTGGACCAGCAAAAGAGACAGGAGTTAAATTAAGGGGAGTTAAAATGGTAAAATTACTTTGAGCAAGCAGAAAAATACCATGTGTGAAGTACAGTACCAGTCAAAAGTTTGGACACACCATCTCATTCAAGGTTTTGTATTTGTCTATATATTTTTTACTTCTTTCTATATTCTGTACACACACAAGACACCAAATATATGAAGCACAATGAGATACACTTTGTAACTTTTTCGTTGGGGGTCCAGCATCTTTGTTTCTATGGAGATGTCACTGCTTGTGTCATGTTCCACAATATGGCATTAAACAGATCTACATTACATTTATTCAATTCCAGGTGGTTTTACAGCTCAAAACTACCTAGAAAAACAGACATTGTGACTGTGAGCGAGGTCGCCTCTTCACAGATCTGACCTGTAACATGGTCTGGTTTGGTCTCTATGAAGATAGAAAGGTTTAGAAGAAGGGTTAGAAAGTTTAGATGTAGAAGCTAGGAATCTGTCTCTCTAAAGAAGAACTTTGGACTTTTCCTTTTATTTTATTATTATTTAATTTAGAAGATTGAGAGTGAAAACATAATTTCACTTTTTCATATGGAAATTTAACAATAAACTTTTTGAATTTAATTCAAAGGTTTAATGCCACACTGTGAGACATTCCAGATGAAGCAATAACATGTCCATGGAGAAAAGCATTTGACTAACCCTCCACCACACAATGCACCTTAAACATAAGCCAAAGATTCATTTGAAACGAGGTGCATGAATTAAAAAAAAAAAGTTTTGCATCTGTTCAGCAGCTTTCTCTTTCACATCAATATTTCACTTTTAATTCTGTCTACCTTGGTCTTCCTAGTTCCTAGTTCCTTCTGTCTTATTCATCTTCACCTGTTGACAAACATTGGCTGAGCGTCACATTCACTGGCCCACAGCTTAGTGGTGTGATTTCAGCTCCCACAGATAAATGCTGTCATTGTGTCCTTGAGCAAGACACTAAACCCACCTCACCCCCAGTGTCTGTGTGCACTGGTGTCTCTGACAGTGTGTGTGACTGGGTTGAATGGTTCTGGTTGTAAAGTGCTATAAGAGCCTGGTGGAAGTTGGAAAAGAGCTGTACAAAAATGTGACCATTTACCATTTTAAAACAGAGTTCTTCAACAGGGGGTCGCAAAATCTTTGGTTGATTAGACTTTTATTATTTCTACATTTTTGAAAGATGAGGATGAAGTGGTTTTCAGTGGGCTCTGTCTGTTCGTTCCTTCATCACGTCTGTCTTTCATGTCAGCGCCGATTTGATCATTTCCTCTAGGCTACATGTGAAGAGTTCCGTTACAGCTTCACTATTATGCACACCGGAGAGGAGGGGGAGAATAGTCTTTCCTCTCGCTCCTCAGATCAGAATGACCGGAAACGTTCAGTGTCCCATATCAAACTCTTGTCTGTCTGCGCTGTGGCTCTTCTCTCGTTTAATCAGATCGTTTAAAAAAGTCACATTTTGAGCCGAATTTCCGTGATGTGATTGCTCCATTCATCTGGCCTTCTTAGAGTCATCGCGAGCTCAAAGTACAGCTTAAACTTCAGGCCTGAGTGGCTTTGGTCAGATTCAGGCTTACGCATTTCTGTCATGGAACGAGTTAAGGCTTAAACTGGAGATGGAGTTAGAGTCAGCTCAGGATTTCAGGAAAAGTCTGGACGTGTTAAATGACTTCGACCCCCAGTATTGAATGTTCAATAACAGAGCAGCTGTTGATACACGACACTAGGCCCAATGTAATATAAAACACAATTGTATGTCATATATACATAGATATAGATATAGACAGGAGAGCTGGAGCAGGGACCCCCTACATCAGTTTGGGGGTCCCTGGCCTGAAAATCATTGAAGACCCCTGATTTAAACCATGTCATGTAAATCCACAATAGTAAAGAACTGCATCTCCTACACATCCATGTGATCGGAATAACTTAAGGTGCACTATGTAACTTTTCTGGTGGAGGGTCCATCACCTACTTGTTTCTATGGAGATGTCATTGCTCTGCCTAGAATGTTTCACAGTGTGACATTAAACAGCTCTACTTTACATTTATTCAATTACAGGTGGTTTTAGAGCTCAAAAATACCTAGATAAACAGACACTGTGACTGTGAGCGGGGTCGCCTCTCCACAGACCTGACCTGTAACTCAGTCTGGTTTGGTCTCCGTGAAGATAGAAAGGTTTAATGCCATACTGTGGAACATTCCAGACAAAGCAATAACAGAAAAGCATCTGACGAACTAACGGACCCTCCAGCAGAAAAGTGACACACTGCAGCTTTAATATGAATCCGAGTGAAATGACATTAGAGACAGTTTGGTGAAGAGTTGGTGATCAAACTGACAAACAAACCAGACACTAGATACACTGTTGATTTGAACACCTCCGCAGTGTTGTCAGTGCAGTCCAAATGTCACACTCCACTTTTCACAGATTAACTGCTACAATCTATTTAGCCACGCGTGTTAGCCGGCTCCTAACCTTCATCCACGTCATAATACACACAATCATCAAGATTAACAGTGCTCCAAACTGCGACAACGCGACCACTGAAGTGTACAGAGAGGATTCATCGAGGACAGTGTGTCCTGTGAAACTTTGCAGCTCAGCAGGTGATGCTAGCACTTAGCTCCAGCGGCTAGCAAACTTTCTTCACTCGAGGTCTGAGGCTGTGGCTGTGACCAAACTCCCGCAAACTCCCCCCATCCAGCGGCCACGCACGCACAGCTTACCTTTAACATCAAGTCCGCGCGTAATGGAACCAGATCGACGCAGTAATCAACGAATCCACAGTTAATTCACAGTAACTTGGCTAATAAATGACCAACAACAGTCCCCATTCTAACAAGGGCACCGCCATTACTGTGCGTCACCGCTGTGGGCGCGTCATTACGCAACTGCTCGTCTTTCACGTGGACCACTCCAACGCACGATGACGACTGGTTTAATTATATCACTTTTATTTAGGTATTAAACTTTTGTCATCACACTGTGACGAAATGGCGCCTCCAAAAACAGTTTATAGTTGATCTTTTCTGCATTAAGTATTTCAGAGGATTAGAGCTGTTATACCGTATGTGGCCACTAGATGGAGACAACGCATTACCTTTTGAGACCAACCGTGTCCTACGAAGACAAAAAGTGTGAAACTCTCTGGAAAATTTACTTCAAAATTTCTGTTGGCGACCTACACAGGTCTCCAAGAACAGTTGATAGTTAAGGTCAGTTAAATACAATCAATCAATGAACCTGCCCAGGGATGACAGGTGGAAATTAGCACTGGTGCTAGTGGCTCGACACTTCACCCACATTGCCTGGTATGAAAGTGGTGTGTGGTTGATGGTGGGCGCCGATAGGTTTGGCAGCTGTGCTTCTGTCAGTCTGCCCCAGGGCAGCTGTGGCTACAACAGTAGCTTACCATCACCAGGTATAGAGTGAATGAATAATGCTGAATAATGCTCTGTAAAGCGTCTTTATGACAAAAAAATGTCTGTGAAAAGTGCTATATAAATAAACACTTACTTACTGTTGTGTCCAGACAAAAGGATAATAGGCAGGGCCCCCAAAATCTGACAACTAGTTGCTATAATGAAGAAATATTTGTATGTGAAAAATATTGAGCTCAAAATTGACCTTTGACCTTATTTGTAAGTTTCTGTACTCTGCCTTTGTATCATGAGCCAAAAATAAGTTTCCATGCAATGGCCAAAGACAGAAACAGGTCACCAAGCTCATGTGTTTGTTTGAAATGATCTAGAAAAGTTTTGGATTTCCTGTTTAGTGCTGATCAGGATCATGCGGTGACATTTACACAGTCAAACAGTTTGACACAAGTGACTTTGCAGTCAAGTGTGTATAGTATGAATAAATACACACAATACTTTCACATTTAAGATCACTGAGGTGTAATTGAATACAAAGGTTTATTTATTGACTGTGTTAAGACCCTGAGCCAAGGCCACAACAAAAATAAAATATATTTATGAACTAAATCACAAACAAAACATAAAGTGTTTCTGCCTTTGGCCTTTGCACGAAAACTTATTTTTGTCTCATGATACAAACACAGAGTACATGGAACTGACAAATAAGGGTCAAAGATCAATTCTGAGCTCAGTATTTTTAAGGATATTTATTCACATGATAAAGGAACTTTCAAATACAAACAAAATTACACTAATTTTTGACCAGACATTATGTTGCGGTGTTCTGCTTTAGTTTAATTTATATTAGACCTTGACTTAGACAAATTTTATTGATCCACAAGGGAAATGATTTGGTCACAGGAGTCACACACCACAATAAAATATAATAACAAAAAGAAAAATATAAATGGCAGTAATACATTTTAAATAAGAAGCAAAAAAAGAGCAAGAGACAGGTGTGAAATAAGACATAATTATATAAATGTAAGTGTAGAATTTATTTATTTGGAGGATAAGCCACTCGAGATGTCTTGCCATCTCGTTTTCGAGGGGGTCCTCAATGTACAAATAAGATAGAAAAATAAATAATAAAATATCAAATCTGTGTTTTATACAAGAGGTCACAGGAAAACAGAGCAACAATGATCTGATGATTGACAGAACACAGGATATCTGTTCCATAAGGGTGAGTTGTACAGTTGTAGGGAGTATTATCTGTTCCATAAGGGTGAGTTGTACAGTTGTAGGGAGTATTATCTGTTCCATAAGGGTGAGTTGTACAGTTGTAGGGAGTATTATCTGTTCCATAAGGGTGAGTTGTTGTACAGTTGTAGGGAGTATTATCTGTTCCATAAGGGTGAGTTTTCTACAGTTGTAGGGAGTATTATCTGTTCCATAAGGGTGAGTTGTACAGTTGTAGGGAGTATTATCTGTTCCATAAGGGTGAGTTGTTGAGTTTTTTTTTTTTTTTTTATTTAAGCATTATATAGAAACATGCCTTCTTTTTGTGAGCAGGGTGACTTTCCACAGACCTGACGTGGCCTGCTGTGTCCTCTGTGTCTCTAGGTTTAATGCCATACTGTGGGACAATTCAGGGAAAGCCATGAGCTCTACATGTGACAAACAGGTGGTGGGGCCTCCATGAGAAAGGCCACTGTAGGGCCTAGCTGGGGCCTGTTGGTGTTGCGTTTACATCCCAGTCTAGAAAAGTTTGAAAGTGGAAGTTTGTAATGTGACTTTTGGCTTTTATTTGATTCAAATCTTTTAAATCTGTTAAGAACCATTCAAAAGACTGTTTCTTTTTATATTTAATTATATAACTGACTAACTTTAACAATAAACTAATCACAGACAAAGATAAAAATGGCTCAAATTTGTTTAAAATGGTTAAAACTGAGAGTAGGAGAGTGTTTACACTTTGGAATTAAGAATGTTCTAAATAAAACACTGCACTACAATCATTATTATTTCTATTTCTAACTAGCAGATCTTATGAGGCCAAATATGTTTTTATGCACAAAGCTCTCACTTGTGTTGTCTGTTCTGCTTCTTGTGTTGCATAAAAATGACAAAGAAAGAAATTCGATTCTTTAAAAAAAAACAAGATCAGATTCCAGCTGTTCACTTTAAAGGTGCAATGTGTAACTTTTCTGGTGGAAGTTCCGTCAAATCCTCTTCTCCATGGAGATGTTACTGCTTTGTCTGGAGTCTGGACTTTTTCCACAAACGTCACATGAGTTGAAATAGGCCTTGGAAAGACTCTTAACCTTATTTTAAAGATCCGTTGTGTAACTTTTCTGGTGGAGAGTATGCCATGTTTTTTTTTGTGTGTGATTGATTAGGGACATGTTATTGCTTTGCTTGGTATGTTCCGCAGTATGGCATCAAAAGTCTGTTCAGCCTTTGTTTCATCAGAGGTGATTTTATTGTCCTGCTTGTCTCCATGGAGATACATCAGTTTAACGCCGTACTGAGGAACATTCCAGGCTACACACACAAATACATTTACATGGAGACTGGCATGTGGTGAACCCTCCCCAAGAAAAGTTACACAGTGCACCTTTAATGTCGGCTAAGCCCTTCTTTTTCATATGATCTTAGCCTGTAGTTTTAACTTACTGTTATTATTCACAGTTTTATATCAGACTGTACCACCAACGCAAGGTTCTAGTTTGTAATTTGAACTTTTTGAAATCCTGCACCTCGTAGAACCTGCTGTGTGAAACATAAAGGCCGTATGATTAGCAAGTGACCCTTAAAACCAAACAAACCTGAAAATTACACTAAAACTCCCATTGCAAATATTGGTTTAAACTTTAAACACAATGTCCTTATATTCTGCAAACAGAACTGAAGCACAAGCCCAGTCTACATCAAAAAAACAAAACAAAACAACAAAAACAAAATAAACAACACAGGCATTACAGGACAAATTCTCTTAAAGGTCTTATATTACTCTAAATGACTCTTGGGAGTTTTATGTCTTGTTATATTCTTACATCTTCAAAAACAGACTTGGAGTTGTGTTTTGTTTCATTCACACAAAGCTCAAAATACTCCCCTCCACCTTATGATGTCATGAAGTAGTAGTTTTCAAGTTGATAGCTACATTATACTTTTCGTTCAGTAGAGATCGGCAATTCCAGGTCTGAAATCCTCCAAATGATTCTAGTGAAGGTGTATGGAGTTTAAAAACACAGTGGAGCACTTCCTGTATAGTTACTGTACATGACATCACAAGGTGGAGCAGAGTGTTTTCAGTTTCAGAGAAGAACTCAGCATAAATGTGTGTTAAACATGTGTGAATGAAACAACACACAACTCCAGGTCTGTTTGTGATGAGGAAACTACACTACAGATCAAAAGTTTCAGAACACCCTCATTTTTCCAGTTTTTTATTGTAATTCAAGTCGTGCAAGTCCAATGAAGAGCTTGAAATGGTACAAAGGTAAGAACAGAACAGACAAAGGTTAAAAAAACATAAAAGAACAAAACACAAGTCCAAGCTCTGCCAAAACTCCCTCAGGAAAAAAGAACAAGATGGTAAAGTTTGAAAACCTGGAGTGTCCAGCAGCAGCACAGTGTCCAGACTTAAACCTCGTCGATCTGGTTTGGGATGAACTGGACAGAAGAGTGAAGCAACCTACAAGTGCCACACATTTATAAAACTTCTGCAACAGACTTGAAGAACTTTCTGAACAATATTTGATTTCTATTGTAAAAAGAACGAGTCACGAGTGTGTTCAGCTCTTCTATCTGACAAAGGTGGACACACATCAATCTAAAGTTTAGAATATGTTTTGGTCAACAGGAAACAATAAACAACTGGAAAAAGTGTGGTGTTCTAAAACTTTTGACCAGTAGTGTACATTTTATCCTCCTGAGACCCGACCCATTCATTTGTGTTATTTACAGTGGACACTGAGTCTCCTTTAAGTGTTTTAAGATCGACTCTTAATGGAGGGACTAGGTTCCTCTGACTAAACAGGGCTGGGGGATTATAGGGGACTATCATGTCCAGGATAAAAAATAAATGAATAAATAACTCAGTAGGAGTTAGTTTGTGACTGCATGATGATTAAAAAAAAAAAAAATATAAATATATATATATATATATATATATATATATATATATATATATATATATATAAAGAAATTAAAAGAGTCTAAAAACGTCTTGAGGCAACTGTAAAAGCTTGTCATGTCAGAGATGTTGGTCATCTAAAAAATGATGTTAGATTGTTCGGTTGTTATCGTCACATAGATTTAAGACCAAAATGTCCCTGTTACAGAGAGCATGTTTTTTCAGTTGTCATTTTTGTGTTTACATGAAAAATGGAAAAAAACAAAAAAACAAAACAAAAAAAGAATAACAACAATTTCCAGTTTACGAGACTTTAACTGCGATGCCGGACTGAACCAGGACTAAACCAGGATTAAACCAGGA